AGTCTTTGTAAATAGGGAGCGATGGAGGGGTTGAAGGGAGGGCAGGGGAAGGGGGAAAAATAAGAACCAAGAGAGATTATGTAAAGGTGCAAATTCCCAATGATGAATGCCATTATACTGTATACCTTAAATGTACCAATAAAATAAAATTAGGAAAAAAAACCTTACTGCACAGCCCATCCTCACAGTGGCCAGGGCAACTGGCACAAGGGGCTCCTTGCTTGTAAGGGGCATATCATCTTGTTGCATTATTATCACTGAAAGTTGAAAGACAACATGTCAAATTTATTATTCTGAACTTTCCTGCTTAGGTTACACTTATCACAATCACTATGTATAGGGTTTTTTTTTAATATTTCAAATAATTAAAAATCTAGGGGCTGGGGATTTAGCTCAGTGGTTCCACAGCCTGCCTCGCAAGTACAAGGTCCCGAGATCCATCCCCAGTACCAAAACAAAACAAAATGAAACAAAAATCTCACATTCCCAGTGTATTCAAATGACAGTACAGAGTAAAATAATAATTTACAGATTCATTTCTTTGCTTAATCATAATCTCAGAACATATATAACTGAATTAGGATAATTAGCCTAAGTTTTCAGTGTATGTATCAATGTGGCTAGGGCTTCTTAATTTCACAACAGACTTAGTCAAATTGCTAAGACAGCACACTATAAGGAGATTACTAAGGATAAAACATATTCCTTGAAGAGAAAGGAGATAATTCTAGAAGACAGAGAGATACGGTAGAAAAAGTAATTAGTACTTCCTTTGAAATTTAATTTTGTTTTTAAAAATGAAAAAAAATTCTAAAAGATGAAGCAGTGTAAGTAAAGCGGCAGTAAAATTTTGACTTTTAAGTGGGAGTGACAATTTTCAGGAATTTTTGGTGTATGTTTTTGAAAGAGTATGTATTTAGGCAGATTTGGAAATGTCTAAAGGAGGTGTGTGAGTGTATGAGATTTTTATGTTTATAAAAATAGAAATATTATTTAGAAATGAAAAGATTTTATTAACAACAGTCTATACAGTGTACTGATCTTACAATGCCCAGATTGTACCTCCTTATGTTTGGAATGCTATTGATCATTATCATCTGAACATACAGGGGAGTCAAATTCTTGGTTGCACCAAATGGGGCAAGAGCCAAAGGTAGGGCTGGTATATATAAATATAGAAACATAGAAATCCTCACAGAATGTGTGAGCAGCTATAAAATTGTGAAATAGACTGCTCCTGGTCCAGAGGAAGAGGCTTCTGGGCTGTCATCTAGCCTGCAACTCCCAGCCCAGAGAAAGGGGCTTCCCAGCCATCATCCCTCCTGACACTCCAGGCCCAGAGGAAAGGGCTTTTGGGCTGCCATCCTTTCTGCTGCTCCTGGGCCAGAGGAAGGGGCTTCTGAGCCTCTGTCCTACCAATCCTGGCCCAGAGGAAGGGGCTTCCGGGCCACCAACCCTCCTGCTCCTGGATCCTGTCCCACCTCTCCCAGCTCAGAGGACATGAGCTGCACAGGCACCAACAGCACACCCCCCTCCCCGTTGAAATTAGAAGACATGTAAATAAGTCTCAAAACCTGACTTTCTGATCACATATAGCAACCCCAAAGGGAAATGAGATGGAACACCCCAATACTCAACCACCTGGACACCCTGAAATGGCAACAAAAGGGGATCTGGGAAAAATGAAATCAGAAATAATTTCTCAGATTATTTCAGCAGAGATTGTACACCTAGTGCAAGACATGATTAATAAATCTAGAGAGGAGCTCAGGAACATGATGGAATCCAAACATAGGAAACAAATGGAATCCATAAAACAGATGCA